CCAGCACTTTTTTTTTTTTTTTTTGAGTTGGAGTCTCACTCTGTCGCCCAGACTGGAGTGCAGTGGCTGCTCCTGGCCACCGCAGCCTCGGCCTGCTGGGCTCCGGCGATCCTTCCGCCTCAGCCTTCCGAGTAGCCGGGATTACAGGCACGCGCCACCACACCCGGCTGATTTTTTGATTTATTGTAGAGATGAGGTCTCGCTGCCCAGGCGGGTCTCAAACCCGCCGGCCCAGGCAATCCACTCACCTCAGCCTCCCAAAGGCACGGGATTACAGGCTGAGCCACCGAGCCCGGCGGCTCAGCACTTTTTAAAAAGGATAATACATCATGAGCAAGTAGAGTTTATCCTGAGAATCCAGATAGTTTAATATCTACAAGTCAATCAAAATACTCCATATTAATAGAACACAGAAGAAAAGCCATGTGCTTGAGAGGCAGAAAAAAAAGCATGCTACAAATTTCAATTCTCATAGCAAATTAATACAGTAGAAATTCCTCAATCTGACAAAAGGCATCTATGAAAAACCTACAGTTAAAAATCACATTCAGTGGTAAAAGTCCCAATGTTTTACAGCCAATACAAGGAACAAGGCAATAATTTCAGTTATCAACATTTTTCTTTAACACTGCACTCCAGTGTGGGTGACAGAGTGAGACTCCAACTCAAAAAAAAAACAGAACTGTAAATTCTAACTGAAGAAAAACAGAAAAAGAAATATAAGACATACAGATTGGAAGAGAAGAAGTAAAATGATCCTCAACTGAGGCATAATGTATGTAAAATACACTAAGGAATCCAAAATAATTAATAGAACTAATAAATTAATTTAGCAAGATTGTAGACACAAAGTCCATAAAATCACCAGGCACAATGGTTCCCACCTGTAGTCCCAGCACTTTGAGAGACCAAGGCAGGAAGACTGCTTGAGCCTAGGAGTTAGAGACCAGCCTGGGCAACACAGCAAGACTCCATCTCTACAAAAAAAATTCAAAAACTTAGCGGGGTATAGTGGCATGCTCCTATAGTACTAGCTACTCAGGAGGATGAGATGGAAGGTTCACTTGAGTCCAGGAAGTTGAGGCTGCAGTAAGCTGTGATCATGCCACTGTACTCCATCCTGGGCTACATAATACAACTCCAACTCAAAAACAATAAAAAAAAGTAAGACAAAGTCCATAAAATCCAATATATTTTTATATACCGGCAGTAAACAGAAAATAAAAGTCTTAATTCCATTCACATTAAATAAGCAATAAAATATTTAGGAACAAATTTAGTAGAAGATGCCTATGGTCCGTACACTAAAAACTGTAAGATTTAAGGGAAATTAAAGAAGACTTAAATAAATGGCCAGATGTATAATGCTCATAGATTGGAAGAATAATTAGGTAAGGGTGGCAATTCTTCCTAAATAGATCTACAGAGTCAATGAGATACCAAATAAATCCCAATAGGCTTTTCTGAAAAAAATGACAAGATGGTTTAAAAAATGTATATAGTGCCAGGCATGGTGGCTCATGCCTATAATCTGAGAACTTTGGGAGGCAGAGGCAAGCGAACTACCTGAGCCTAGGGACTGGAGACCAGCCTGGGCAGCATGGCAAGACCTCGTTTCACCAGCTGGGCATGGTGGTGCCCACTTGTAGTTCCAGCTACTTGGAAGGCTAAGGCTGAAGGACTGTCTGAACCCAGTAGGTCAAGGCCATGATGGTTGTGAATATGCCACTGCACTCCAGCCTGGGGGACAGAGTAAGACTCTGACTCCAAAAATGAAAATAAATAAATAACAAAAAATGTATATGGAAAGGCAATAAACCAATAAAAAAATTTTGAAAAAGAACAAGGTTGGAAGACTGAAACTTCAACAGTAATCAAGACAGTGGCATACAAACAAACCTACAGATCAATGAAATCAACTAACAAATCTAGGAATAGACACACACTGAAAAGGTCAATTAACTTTTTATAAAAATGCCAACTTTATAAATTCAATAGAGACAAAGTAACCTTTTCAATAAATGGTCCTGGAACAAATGAGTATCTATTTTAAAAGAATATTAAAAAATAAACTTTGGCCCATACCTTGCAAAATCTACAAAAATTAACCAAAAGCCCTTACCTCATACCAATAAACAAACATTAACTTAAATTGAACATGAGCATTAATGTAAGCACTAAAACTATTAATATTTTAGAAGAAAATACATAAGAAAATTGTTGACACACTGGTTTAGGCAATTTTTCTCAAGCAAGACACAAAAAGCACAGATATTTTTGAAAATTTACATAATGGTTTTATCAAAACTAAAATTCTTTGCTCTTCAAAAGACATAGCTAAGCAAACAAAAAATACTGTACAAACTAGATTACCAGAAAATGTTTCAAAATATAGATCCAACAAGGACCTTATATAAAAATTATATAAAGATTACGCCAGCCTAGGCAACATGGTGAGACCTCGTATCTACAATAAATTAAAAAATTAGCTGAGCATTGTGGTGCATACCGGTAATCCCATCCATATACTTAGAAGGCTGAGACAAAAGAATCACCTGAGCCCAGGAAGTTGAGGCTGTGATAGCTGTGATCATGACACTGCACTCCAGCCTGAGTAACGGAGAGAGACTCTGACTCAAAAAAATTTTTAAAAAAAGACTATGACACTACAAGATACACAATCTGTTTTCTTTTCTTTTCTTTTTTTTAAAAAAAAGGGCAAAAAATTTTAACAAACATTTCACAAAAATAAAAAATACAAATGGGCACATACAAAGATGCTGATATTACCAGTCTTCAAAAAAATATAAACTAAATCCACTATTATACACTCAAGTTAATAGTGAATAGTGAATGGCTCAAGTTAAAGAAGAACTCAAATTATCATATATTATAGGAACATAAAATGGTACAACCACTTTAGAAAAACTTTATCAACTTAAACATACTTTACCACAGGATCTGTAAATTACTCTTTTACGTATTTACCCAGCAGAAAGGAAAATGTGCATCCACACAAAGACGTGTATGCAAATGTTCATACAGATTGAATTATCCCCTATCCAAAATGCTTGGCTGGGACGAGAAGTGTTTCAGATTTCAGATTGTTTCGGATTTTAGAATATTTGCATCATACTTACTGGTAGAGTTTCCCAAAACCAAAAATCTGAACCCAAAAAAGCTCCAATAAGTGTTTCCTTTGAACATCATGTTGGCGTTCAAAAAGTTTCATATTTTGGAGCATTTCAAATTTCAGATTTTTGGATTTGGCATTCTCAATCTGGATTAGGTTATCATTATCATAATAACCAAAAATAGAAGCAAAACAAATCTCCATCAAATGTAAATTAACAAATAAATAAATTGTGGTAGGAACACACATGCACACCAATGAATATTACTAAAGAATAAAAAGAGAGCTGGGCTCGGTGGCTCAGCCTGTAATCCCACGCCTTTGGGAGACTGAGGTGAGTGAATTGCCTGAACCCGCGGGTTCGAGACCCACCTGGGCAGCGAGACCTCATCTCTACAATAAATCAAAAAATCAGCCGGGCGTGGTAG